TACTACTACCACTACTACTACTACTCGTACTACTACTACTACTACTACTACTACTACTACTACTTCTCCTACTACTACTATTACTACTACTCGTACTGCTACTGCTACTACTACTACTACTACTACTACTACTACTACTACTACTACTACTGCTACTGAGGCTTCTTACAACAAGGAAGTTGCCTTGAAGCCCTAAAGTCTGAGTCCCAGATCGAAGTGTCAGCCCTGACAGTTCCCCAAACCCTAGATTCTCTAGATACTAAAGCCTGACAACTACGGTTTAAGGGTTTAGGGTTTAGGGTTTGGGGTTTGGGGGTTTAGGGTTTAGGGTTAGAACCAGTCATATAGTTCTTACAGATCTCCTGTGAATCCTTATGAGCTACTGATGCAGCTTTCTGAAAGCCTTGTCGGCCACTTTGAATACCTTTCTAAGCCGGTAGATAACCTTTACGGGACTTGTATTCCCTGAACCCTAAACCCTACAAAACCCTAACGACTCTTATCACTCTAAGAATCCAAGACGCCCTAAACCCTAAACGCCCCACTAAGGATTTGAGTTGAGTCCCTAAAACCTAATCAGACTGGACCCTGAATTCCTTAGAAACGAAAGGAACCCCAAGCCCAAACCCAAAAGCCCTAAAGGCCATAAGCACAAGAATATCAAGAACATTCAAAACACCCGAAGCGCCCGAAACCCTCAAAGATCTCGACTCAAAAACCCAACACTTGCAGAACCCTCCCTAAACCCTAAACCCAAAACCCCTAAACCCTGAACCCTAACCCTAAGCCCTAAACCCTAAACCCCTACACCCTAAACCCAAAACCCCTAAACGAATGAAAGGTGGCCGGACGTCGGGATGAAGATTAGCCTCGTCTCAGCAGGAGTGCCCGAAGCCAAGGCGGATGAAGTGGTCCCTTTGGGATTTTTCAGTTTTTATTTCTATATTTATATATATATATATATTTTTTTTTTATTGTCTATTTTTTGGGGGGGTTTCAGGGGGTTTTAGGGTTTAGGGTTTAGGGGTTTAGGGGTTTAGGGGTTTAGGGTTTAGGGTTTAGTGTTTCGAGGGTTTAGGGGTTTAGAGGTTTAGGGGTTTACAGGGTTTAGGTGAGAGGGGCCAAGCAGTACGCTGTCTCTTGTCATAGGTCTTCGGGTTCGCTTCTCCTTACTAGCACTACCTTAAGTACCCCCTTCTGCTGCTCCCAGGTTGGTTTTGCACTCTGTTTTTCCAGCCCTGAAACCCTAAAGCATTGGTTTAGGGTTTAGGGTTTGCGCTGTGGTCGCTCGCGCTGTTTCACGGGGCAGCTACCTATGCTTCTTTCACGCTGCCCCTCCCCATTGCGCTCGCTCTGCGTAGCTAGTATTCCCACCCCAGCCGCCCAAACCTGGACCTTGGCGGGTTTAGGGTCTCACTTTGA